TTTAATATTTGTTTTCTTTTTCATTTGTCCTTTAGGATGTAAAGCCACATTTATTTGAACCAAACAAGTCCATTTCTAATCTAGGAGACTTCTGTAAGTCTCTTTTGTTTCTTTATAGATTTGTTCATAGCAAATATTCTATTGATTTTTAGTGCATCATCATCTACTTTGTAGGCTTCCTTGACACCTTTGATGAGAGAAGATTCATCACAATAAATGATCGTACTGAGCATCATTGTGTCATGGAGCTTCACTCCCATGAATTCTTCTTTTCTGCTTAGTGTGTCTAGCACTAAATTATCCATATCCAGTTTGTGGATGAGCTCAACATCCATCAAGACAATCACATCATACCATCTCAGTTTCTTTAGAGATGTATGCATTTTGGAAGTAAGATACTTGAGAGAAATGTTGTTGGTATAGACTTTGGTCTTCTTACTATCTAGGTAGTACCTCTAAGCTTTTAAGTAGTGGATGACCACAAACATTTTTTTCTTGTGCATTGGCCATCTCAATTGGCTTCCTCTTAACTTCTTACTCTCGAATGCCATGAGTCTTCTTTCTTGCATCAAAATCCCACCAATAGCAAAATTGCTCACATCCATGTGAACCTTGAAGTCTTTATTGAACTATGGATAATATATTACTAAATTAGAAATCAATACCTCTTTATTTTCTTGAAAGGACTTATTGCAATTCGAATCCTATCTTATAGACTTACTATTATTTTTCAAGAGGCTTGCCAAAGGTCCAACAATCTTTGAAAAATCCCTTATGAACTTCCAATAGTAGTTTGCTAATTCCAAGAAAGACCTTACACCCTTCTGAATCTTAGGTATCTCCCAAATCTGAATTGCTTAGATTTTCTTTGGATCTGGCTTTATCTCTTTGCTATTGATGATGTATCCGAGAAACTCTAACTCTTCCAAGTAGATGATGCTCTTCTCTCTGTTGGCATATAGCTAGTTTTCTCCCAATTTTGTCAATACAATTTGTAAGTGTTTCTTGTAATTTGCTTCATTCTTAGAAAACACCAAAAAATCATCAATATATACAACCATGAACTCATTACTTTCTTTGTGAAAAATGAAATTAATTAATGTGGTAAAAGTTGTTGGAGCATTATACAACCCGAAAGGCATCACAACAAATTCATAAGATCCATACTTGATCTTGCATGCCATTTTTTCAATGTCGTCTTGAGCAATCCTTATTTGGTAGTATCCACTCTTAAGATCAATCTTGTTGAACCATTTACTACTGCTCAGCGTGTCCAACAAGTCATCTATTCACAATAGCGGGTAATTGTTCTTCACAATGATCTTATTCAGAGCTTGATAATCAATACATATCTTTTTCTTCTCATCATTTTTACTCACAAAGAGAACTAGGGCTTCGAATAGGGATTTATTTGGTTTGATGTATCTTTTTTTCAAGAGTTCATTCAGTTATTTTTTGAGCTCCTTTAGTTCAAGCTAGTTCAATTGATAAGGCGCCTTGCTTGGAGGTTGTGATCTAAGAACTAACTCAATCTTATGGTCCACTACCATATTTGATGGTAACTCTTCTAGCAACTTTGCCATCAAGTCATTGCCAAATTCAAATGCTAACTTTTGCACCAATTTAGGAGGAAATAGAGTAGTCGTTCTTCACTCCACTTTATTAACAGCTTTGACACTTACAATATCAAAATCAAGATCATTGCTTCTAAAGTGAAGGAGAAATTATTCTCTTTCTACCTCATATTGAGTGATAATTGTAATCTTTGATTTGTATAATATTAGGCGATTTGTGAAGAGTAGGTTTACAACTTTTCCTTCTGCTTCCATCATCACTACTCACATTTTTGGTTTCCATCACAGCTTTATTCTATAGTACCTCAAAAATATATTTTCTAGTACTACATCTATTCTATTGAGGTGGAAGATGGTGAAGTCTTCTTGAAACTTCTTGCTTCTTCATTGGAACTTCACATTTTTTGCGACTTAGCAAGATATCTCCCTTCTTTGGACAAATGATATCTTCACTTCTTTAGTTGTTTCTTGAGCTAGTTCCAACCTCTTAGCGCACTCCGGGCTCATGAACAAGTTGGTTGCCCATGTATCAATCAACATGGCTACTTCAATGTTTTCAACCTTGGAATTCAAATAAATGAATTTCTTATGCAAACTAGTGAGGGTGAACTTTTCTTTGAAGCCTCCTTCTTTCATCAAAACTTGCATACTGAGACTCAATACTTGGAAATTCTAATCTATTTCAGTTTTGCATTGTGGAGGGTAATTATAAAGTACACTCACTTTCTTTACAACCTCCTTATTCCTGCAATTGTTAGCATAGTGCCCCTTCTATTGGCACTTGAAATATGTCACCGATGTCTTTACTTTTGCATACTTTGAACTGCTCCTTTGGTTTTTTTTGCCTTGGACTTAGAAAAGTAAGGAATCACTTCTTCAAATTTCCTCTTGAAAAATAGGGATCTTTTGTGGAAGGGTTTTGCTCCTCCGTAAGGGCTAGTTTTATCTTCCTATGTTCAAGTCATAGTGCTCAACTCATTATGATCCGGCCCTTATTCTTCTATTTTTAGTTAAAATGTCTACATAAAGGCATCATTAATGTTAATAGGGATCATTTTCTTCTTTGAGTATCTTCTTTTAATTGCTATGCTCAATCTATTATTAAAAAAAAAGTAGCAAGCATTTCTCATAATCAAACTAAGTATATACCAACCTATTTGAGTAGAGAAGTTTTACTTGCTTCTTATTTGAGCTTAAATAATTACAGTCCTTTTACAAAGTTTTGCCACTTGCTCTCAAACCTACCTATCAACTTTTTGCAGACTATGCTCCAAGTGGTTTCTTTGGTGTAATTTGGATTGGCTTTGATCTCTTCATCAAACCAATCTAGCGCACTCCCCTCAAATAGAACTAATAGTATCCTAATCTTATCTACATTGTCTTCAATGTCGTTAGCTAAGTGTCAATGCTCCACTTCTTTGACGAACCTCCTTGTGGTTCTTTTGTGCTCCGTTGTTGTGTTGTGGATCGGCTACCATGTGAAAATAATAGGCTTATATATTTAATATATAATACACTAGATAACATAGTGAAAGCCAGGTTAATGAATTTTTATTGGTTATAGGATGTGGATAGATTACTACCTCAAAAAGAGATTGTTTAAAAGAGCTTCTATTAGAATTTATGTAACTTTATTTTCTTTTGATAGTGACTTTGAAGTTGATCTTATTAGTAGTAACTTTTAAATATTTAGAGTCACCTTTGTTAGATATTGGTGACCCTTAAAGTCTTATTTTATTTCTTTTATATGATGTTTAGGACATATGTTGTGTAAATCTTATAAAAAAAAGAGTTGGAGAGGGATTTTGGTAGCAAAAAAGGTAGTTAAGGGAGCCATATAAATGAACGGATATGGATGATATAAATCTCCATTCCTGTTGGTCAAAAATCATGACCAATGGACTTCAAGAAGGCTGCCTAAGGCCATATTAGAGATTAGGGTTACAATTTCGAGCCATTCAAGCTTTTGGAGGCTAGGTTTGGCAAGTTCAGATTTTTGGCTATGGTTTTGGTATAAATTTAGAGTCAATTGGAGTTTATATGAAGGAGATATAGGCACTCAAAGTCGAGATGTTGATTTGTACCTATTGTCACTCTTTTGGATATAACATACACATACAGAAAGAAACAGAGGATTGGCAACTCGGGTTGGAGAGAGCACTTTCTTGGCTATAGTTTTGGCATACTATTTGATGGATTTCAAGTTGGAATAAAGGAGATATTGGAGGTTGAAATCAGTGTTCACAAATCTAGAAGTAGTAAGTAACTTGATTCACTAATGGTTGTGTTTTGAACTATATCTTGAGCAATTTGATGAGATTTTGGCTCAAAATTTCTAAGAATGTATGCAATCATGTTAATAAAAATTTATATACAAATTTTGTGGCATTTGGATTTTGGATATTTGAGATAGAAGAAAAATATTTTTTGGGTGCTTGTAGATTAGGGTTTAGAGCATGAGTTAGGATTTCAAAGATGCCAGAAGATTGGTAATAGATTTATGATTTATTTTTTTGTAGTAAAGCTTAAAGATAGGATCAATATTAAATAGAAATTTGAGAAAAATTGAATGGTTGGATTAAGAAATATCAATTTCCAAAGTTCAAGGTAAAAACAACTTTTACAAAAAAAAAATGTTTTGAAGGATTTTATTATAATTTGAGCTTTCATGCAAGATAAAGGGATTTTTGGAAGATAAGACATCACATATAAGCCAAAGCTAAACTCTCTATAGTTAGGTACCTAATGTATTCCCAAATTGTAAATCATACCATATAACATCGTCCTTCGCTACTTTCTTGGCTAATCTGTCTTCGCTTGATAGGAACTCAAGTGATTCTTTTGGCTCTCCAAAGCATCTCTTTTCTCACATTCTCTCTCACCAACGAGTAGATTAGAAGTTGATTTACTTCCATCTTTTTCTCAAACTTGCTATTCTTTTCTTCTATCATCTTCAAAACGATCTTCTTGACTTTGAGTAGAGAGACAACTTCTAATCTATCCGTCTACAAATCCATCGAGTGATTCAAAGTTTTGGACATGGTTTTCTTTTGTGATCTAGAATTCTTCTCTTCTTGATCACTTTCCTCCTCCTCACTAAGAAGATTTGAAGGATCCATTTCAATCGCAAGCCCTTCTGCAATTTCCTTCGATTCCATTTGAGTTTCCTCACCTCTTACTTCTAAGGGTTCTTTTCTTCGAGCGTGGACTTCTTCTTGACCAATCTTTGCTTTGATCTGGGATCTTGACCTGCTTGTAACGATTGCAAGTTGGTATTGATGACCTCTTCACCTTCTACCCGTTGGGTCGAAGTTTTTGTGGTCTTTCTTTCTATTCTTTATAGCTTCACTCACTCCAGGATATTCAAAAAAAAAATTTCCATGCACTTGTTGCCAATTCCAGTCTTAGACAATTTGATACCACATATAATGTCTCTTCTATTGAGAAACTCCACTCACCTAGAAATCTGATGAGAAGTTATGTTAGAATCAAGTAAACACAATGCAAAAACATTCAAATACTCACTCTCTTGCTCTATAGCCTCCTTAATCTATCCAACCCTTAGTTGGGGAAGAATGAGCGCTTTGCCTCCAAGCTCCACTAAAAGAGTGTTGCATTGAGCCCTCACAAAGGTCAATATCCACAACAACCATGGCATCACTGAAGCTCGGCTGTCTTACCCTACAAGACACTCTCCTTGACCCACATCGCTTCTCATAGAAATGATGCATTGCCAATCTAGACTATTGCCTCTTCAACTCAGAGTCATCATTTGGGCTATCTCTAGGGTGGATTAAGGAGACGCTCCTCTCCATGTTCTCCCCTAAGGCTAACATATCACTTCACTACTCAAGTGACCTACAGTTACGGTCTCATGTGCCATAGACGCACCGCCTGAGCCAAGGTACTTAAGGTCCCCGTGACCTCCTTCACGCCCCCGCATGAAGGTTTCCTTGGGTCGAGGGAGGTGGCCTCCCATCCACTCCTTTACCACCTTGCCACTAGCCACCCTTCTGCATTGAGCAGCTCTTGGCTAGCAGTCCGTTTTCGCCTGTGCAAGGGTCTGCCTTTTCAGACACTTACAAGGGTTTGTACAAGAGACAAACATGAAGAATGTGTGGAAAAACTCAGACTGATGCTACCCAATTCACATCAAAAACGGAATTGGGGTAATTAAAGCTGGCCAGTTTTATTGACGGAACAATGCCGTTTCACAATTCAGCATACTCAACTAGGGAATGAGAACAGCATGAAAAATGAATGCCACCAGACACTTAACACAGAGAAAGAAAGCTTCACTCCAGGGATGTCAGAACAATCTATTGTCCGGAGTAAGAGGTAGAATGAAACAATATTTGTACAGATTCTATCAAAAACCAATGGAATTCTCATACTCTCACAAACTATATTCAAATGTGATCCTCATTGCCTCGCTTGTACATATGCCTGTACTGCAGGATGGGTATTCACAGACACAAGTTCCAACCTACATCTGCTGTCTTGTTACTGCAATGTGATCTATACAATCAAGTCTTATTTCCACATAGCTGCACACAGTTGTGATGTTTCACTGCTAAGTGATGGATACCTCGACTAGAACAGTTGTCATCAATGCTGCACCAGTGTCGACATCACCTGCTGGAAAGATGAACTACGAAAGGCCTCACATCGTCTGAAGAAGACACACAGAAGGAATACTTACTGGGAAGAGCAGGATCACTCACTGTAAGCTCCTCTGAGCCCGGTACATCGTTGTAAAAGTGCCGCTCGTCGGGGAAGCTGATCTCGGGCCTCGATGTGTCCATTGGACCCACCCCAATCTCTCGTAAGGTTTGCACCACTTGCCTCATGAATGGCCTCTCTTCGTTCCGGATTCTTGCACACCACAACGACAGCTCCACCAACTTCGCAAATTCTTGCGTGTCGAAATCCCCCTGTAAGTTTGGATCCGGCAGTGTCTCTAAGTTTTCAGACACCCAAGCGTCTGCAACCTGCCATTCGCCGAGTTCAGGAATTAGTTAGGACTGAAGACCACCACTTGTTGTGAGGTTTGGAAGACTTTGTGGGTAGGACCCAAGCTAAAATCAATGCTACACTTGAATAAACTTAGTGTTTATACCAGTGCGTTTTATTCTGCAAAGACGTCAACATAAATGACTTACTCTATGAACAATGCCCATTTGATTGCACCCTGTCAAAACCTCCATAAGAACGATTCCATACGCATACACATCACTTTTCGCTGTAAGCACGCCCTTCTCGTGGTACCTGCAAACCATGAATGAGGTCAGAGCAACATCAAAAATCAACTACCTGTGACCTTTATGGCAGACTCCAGCTCGCAATGCTACACTTGAATATGAGAAAAGCCCTCCAATGGCATCTAGTCCTCCACTAACTAGCATGCGGATCATCTTATCAAGATTGGAGATGTTAGCAACGAGACCTACTCTGGATCAAGGTAACCTGGAGTGCCTTTCACAATCGTTGTTATGTGGGTGGCTTCTTCCTGATCTAAGGTCCGAATTTTCGAAAGCCCAAAATCGGCCACTTTTGCAACCAGCTTGTTTGTGAGGAGAATGTTGTTGCTTTTGACATCCCTGTGAATGATGGATGGGCAGCATTTATCATGGAGATATTCAAGCCCTTCATAACATCACGACCAAGTCATCAATACACGGAAAAGATTCAAGACTTATACAGCAGAAATTGTCCTCATCACCAAAGTTACCGTCCTGGTTAACCCAGCGCTTGTAGAACAGTCTTAGTGGTGTACCTTCTGCAACTTGAAGGATGATACTTGTTCTCTGTTTCCAGGTCAGGGGGTTCTCCTTAGCGTCGTTGCCTGCAGGCAACAACCAGGACACAACAACATTAGATTGGCACCAATCCACCTTGGAAGTGACGATTCAGTGAAAATGAATGGACTTTTTCTGGCGGGTCTGATGATTCGGGCAATCACCTTGCAGCCTTTGTCGCAGGTCACCACCGCCCAGATATTCGTATACAAGTATCTGCTGGTTGTGTGAACACCTATACCCCAAAAGAGAAACCAGGTACTTGTGATGCACTGTAGATAGCAGCTCAATCTGTGAAAAACCCATTCATCCAGCTACATCATGTTAGCGAGACTGCCAGGGCTGAACAAACTTGAGAAGCAGTGGATCATCATTTTAAGAATTCCAACATGCAAAACCGACCTCATTGTAGAACTCTTGCTTGCTTTGACATGAAGTTGATGACAAGACCTTTGCCGCTATCTCCTGCCCATCTTCCAGCTTCCCGTAGAACACATCGCCGAAGCCACCCTGACCAATTTTATTCCCAAAGTTGTCTGTTGCCTGCTTGATCCTGCTCTCAGTATACAAAGTTTGCGAGAATCCAGCTGTTTTCATTTTCCGCTGGAATGCCCTATCCACAGGGTCGAGTAACCCTACAAGGACAGGCACCACCACAATTATCCACAAGATATCACAAAGTGGATACTACGGTCATAATTTGGCAGACAGTCTGAATAGCAAGAAGAAAACTGTCACTCTTGGGCAAAGTATGCGTACTTTTTCGTGCATAGAAATACCAGAACGCGACGCCCACCACAATCAGCGAAAAGAACCCACTGAGCACACCAACCACGATTGGCCACCAACTGATCGCGGTTGAGGTTTTTTCATTGCTGGTCGAGATTATGCTGCTCCACAACCTGTTTTTGGAATCGAACATATCGAGCACAACTAACTCTGCTCCACCGTCCGAGAGCAGCTTCAGAACCCAGCTCACAGTATTGTTTCCTATCGGGCTGGTACTCCAGTACACAGTATCCATTTGATTGTTTAGAATCTGAAGTTTTCCATCGTCCTTCAGCATCAACCGACAACTCGAAGGAACCAGTGATGTGTTGGAAATTACAGGTTCCCAAATCACCTGCTTCGATGTTTTATTCTCAGTATGTATCTCCAGAAACTGAAGTTTGCAATCTCTTCCGAGAGAGAGGTTAAATTTGCCGTCTCCTGTCACCAAATTCGACCCTTGATTGATATAATATTCTGCCGGCAAGTAGGGGTAATCATCGAGAGATACATTCGGTTTCCATGCGGACTCTGGTGGAAACGGGTACTGCAGGTTGAGGGTGGAGAAGTTTGAAATAGTCGGCGAAATCGAAATCTGTGATAAGTTACTTGGCATGTCAAGATTCTCCCCGTTGCCTCCATACATATTGAGTTTGCCATAGACGGCATCAAGAGCCAAAAATCGGTGTGAACTCCTTACGAATCCGTTTGAAGCTGTTTGTGAAGACCAAACTGCGGTTGTACTGGTACCATTGTACGTATAGACCACAAGGTTTCCATCGAATTGCATATCGAGTTAGCAGCCCCATGTAGATTGAGGGCCCTTGGGAACGTTCTCCGTCCAATTTGTGGTGCCAATAACCTTAGTGCCAGAATACAAATAGAGCAAGCAATCTGGCTGCATCACAAGAGAGTAATTAGAAGCAAAGAGGTAGCTGCCAGCAGGCATTTTCATGCGATTGATGGCATCCGGCCCACTGACCATAACGCTCACAGACAACACTCTTGGGGTCCATAACACACAAACTGCTAAGAAAAGTGAAATTAGAGCTACAATATAATTCATCCTGCTTCCTCCTTCCGTCTGCAGAAAAGCATGCATAAGATGACCACCGCATGCCAAGCCACCAGTGCAGTGAATGAGCGTGCGGAAGGACATAGTCTAAACTCGCAATCTCTTAGCTGATTCAGATCCAAGCGAAGTGAAACCAGCTAAATGATGAAATGAGCCAGAGTAGCTAGATCTTCACACCATGGGGAGTTATTTTTCTTTTTTTTTATCAAACTAAAGCTGGTCTGCTGACTTAGCATCAGAAGGGGGACTCATAAGTTGGATAAAGGGAGAGAGAAGTTAGCGAGGACTTGGCCATGAGGAAGTCACAGGAGTGAAAGATATGCATGGAAGAAAAAGATAAAGACGTTGGTGCTAAAGGGCGTACCCAACGATTTCCGCAAATAGATCGGCACCTCTCACTGAGAAGAGATCCATCATAATGGAATACTTTTCAACTTGGGGCACTATTGCAAATGCTAAGGTACAGGTCAGAGACGACACAAGAGCAATTCACCTGGACGTTGTCAATGAGATGGGAATGATTCAACCTGAATTCTGAAAGGGCCTAGAACACAAAAAAAACTATTGAGTGAACGACCTTGCAGTCAACCTTCATGAGTAAACCATCGACGTTTGGAGAGAGTCCATCGGTGTGCTGATTGTTCCTTCATACCCGGAATCAACGCTGCGACGTTGATGGAGTATTTTTTATTTTTTTTAGATGTGCGCAACTTTCCGCCGTGGATGTTGCAACGTACCGCATGTAAGTTAGATCGAAGTATTATATCTCAACGTTCAATTACCGACTTTATTGAAACAGCTGTACACACATAGATTCTTCATAAACAATTGGACCCGATTCCTTCATTACCTTAGTTAGTCACAAATTATTTCATCATGTGATTGGGGAGTCACTTCGGCAGCATTTGCAACCATGCAGACAAGAAAAAGTTGAGTCCTGCTACAGCGCGGCCTCAAATGTGACGGGGCATCGTTTAGCAGCGATTTGTTGCTCTCTTCTCGTTCCCCTCTTTTCCCAAGCCAGAGCGGAATGTTTTCATCGGTTTTGGACTTGGAGATAGGAAGTCGGAGACGCTGATGCGCATTGTCTCAGCTCCCAATACACGAGACGTGTTCTGAATTACTGACGAAACGGTTTGACTTATCACATAAGAACTTCCGATGCTTATAATTTTTTAGAATTGTATTGTCATGCATATAGAGCTCTCATGAGGATCCGATTACGGCAACAAGTCCACTCGCATCGTTCGCTACGATCTCTCTCTCTCCTTTTCACTTCCTTTCGTGGGTCCTATGCAGAAGAATTCAAAACTTGCATCCTCCTAAGCTCCGAAGAGGTTCTGCTAACTACTGGAGATTCCGATGATCATCGAAGAATGAACATGAACGGTTACATCTCTGCCTTCATAGATTCGACGGTGGGAGCAATTAATCCCACTTGAACCCTCATCGACATCCACAGTCTTGTTCTAAATCTATCTTCTGGTGTGGGTTTCATTCTGTTGTCATTCTGCAACACGTCGAAGTGGGTTCTGAAACTTCATTTCTACTAAACGGTTTGGTTTTCACAACTTCCGTGAACCGCGTCAAGTTGCCACGCACAGATGCGGCTCTCAAGGTGCCTGAAAGAGGAACAGTCTCAGTTATTTACGCTTAGGACAGAGTGCAAACTTCCCCATCGTGTGGACATCTCACCACATTTCCATGTAAGCTTCGTCATGTCTTTAGTAACTTGTATGTAACTAGTAAAAGATTGACTTCTCCCTTGTATAAAAGAGATTAGAGTAAGAAAGTTGAGGATTGATTTTCAGTTGTACGGACATTCATCATGCAATAAAGATTGAGTTTAGCTTGTATTGATTTGCTGTAGACTGCTGTAAAACAATAGGTTATGGGCCCAAATCAAGTTGCTGTGCTTTAGAAGCTGCATGATTTTTTCATCGATTCCTATTTCTTTGTTTTATGTAGACAGCATGAGTAATTTAGTTCTTTGCAAATTTTAAAAGGACGTAGCTTGGTTCTTGATTTTCTTGATTTTCTTGTTTTTCCATCGGTAAGATTCTTCTCTTCTTATCTTACAATACAATGTCCATCGACAAAGACCTCATTGGCAATCAACTTTTTAATGGAACTGAATTCCATATTTGGAAGTAGCAGATAAGAAATTTATTTTGTGCCGAAGGATACATTACTTAGACAGACGGCTCTGCAGAATATGATTCAGATGACAAAGATTGGAAAGAATAAGATTATAATGCTTACACATTTCTTATTTCTTCTATAGAACGAGAATCTCTAGCTCCACTTACCAGTTGCGCTACTGCACAAGAAGTTAGAGATCGTCTGCTTGAAGAGCATGAATTTAAGTCTAGTGAGAATATTTTGTTAAAGTAAAAGTAGAAAATGTTACCTTGTATAGGATATTATCTTAAGTAAGTTATTACTAGTCAAAGGTTTGACTCTTCGTATATGGTAAGGGCATCCAATGGATATAGGACGAAGTCATGGATTAAGAGTCAAAGTCAAAAGGATAAAGTATTAACAAGGGAATATTCCAAGACTAAGTATGAGTCATTAGTGTGTGTCATAGGATACCCTCGTAGTTCGTGAGATGCCAAAGGATCCTAAGAGCAAGTGTGTAAGACGTAAGAGTAATTAGTATTGGACATAGGATACTCTTCGGACTCATGAGATGCCAAAAGGATCCTAGGGCCATGTATATAAAAGTCAAAGAGTGGACATTGTCATTTAGGGCAGCAACTACCACCTATAAGTAATGGGTGTTGGAAGTGAGAGACATCTTACTCCATACTCTCTTTGTGTGTAACCTTGTTGATGCTAAGTGTTGTGTCTTCTAAGTACTTGTTTTCTTAATAGCTTATGGGCCCATTCACCTTTACTTGTGAGTTTTGAAGTACTTTGAAGTCTTTCTTATTATAAGGAATAGATCTTATGGTTATTGCTGAAGTTTGAGTTTGTTATCTTCTAATCCTTCTTATGCATCTAGTTGTTGATATAATTTTACTCTTATTTATTGTTAAGTGTACTTATAGTCTTTGTTGTTGTTAGACTCCCTATAATGATGTTTTAGAACTTTAGTATTTTATTTCTTTGGTGAGATTTATCATTGGTGTTCTAACTTTGTGCTTTCATGTATTTAACTTCTTAAGAGATTGTTCTATTTTCACAAGAAGTTTTTTTTGTGAGGTTAGAAGTATTTTGTGAGAAAAGAGGGGTGATTGAAGAATGGCAAAGCTTATACAAGAAGTTCAGATAGAATGTAAGACTTGTGAGAAGTCTTATATGTGAAGTTGAGAGTGATGCAAGAGTGAAATCACTTGTTTATTTACAAAGAGGGCATTCTGGGTTTCTATGGCAGCAACACCTTCTTGTTGATTTTGAGAGTTCTATATCTTCTTTTCTTGATTTTCTTTCACACATCCCTTCCTTAGACATGGCTTCAAGTGAGGGTGAGAGCTTGAGAGCGATTAAAAAGTTTAGGAGTGACAACTTTTACCATTGGAAGAAGAAAATGGAGCTTTTGTTGGCTTCATTGGACCTTTGGGATATTGTTGATGAAAGTGAAGACCCTCCAAGTGACAATGTTGATATCAAAGTGAAGAAGGAGTACAAACATCGTGAAAGGAAGGCTTTTGGGATGATTGCAACAAACCTTGATGATGCCAACTTTTCACATGTTATAGCTTGCAATGGACCAACAGAAGCATAGAAGACTCTTTGCAACATCTATGAGAGTAGAAACCTTGCCAACATCCTTTTGACAAGAAGGAAGTTCTTGACAATAAAGATGGAAGAAGGAAATGACCTCATGGCTCATGTTAACAAGGTAAAAGCACTTGCTAACCAATTAGCAGTTGTTGACAAACTAGTTGATGATAAGGACATTATGTTGACATTGCTCATGAGCCTTCTCGAATCCTACAACTACCTCATTGTGGCATTGGAATCCATCAAAATGAAGGAACTTACTATGAACTATGTCACGTCAAGACTTGCGCATGAAGTGACCAAGAAGAAAGAAAAGGAGCTTGTAAGTGATGATTCGGCTCTATTTTCAAGACAAAGCAAAGGTAGCTATTCTCACCAATGTGATAATTCAAAAAGCAATATGAGGAATTGCTATATTTGTGGGAAACCAGGTCATTTTGCTAGAAATTGCTACAAGGCCAAGAAAGGAGATAGGGAGAATGCAAACAATGCTAGTGATACTTTTGGTGGAGATGAGTATGCTTTCATGGCAAAGGAAGGAGCCTCCATGGCTGCCATGTCAAAGTGGATTATAGATTCAAGTGCTACTAAGCACATGATACCATACAAGTGTTCATTTGACACTTATGAAGAAATTCCAGTAACAAAAGTGTGGTTGGGAGACAATGGCATGGTACAAGCCATTGGAATTGGCTCAATTATAGTGGAGATTGTTGTGAAGGACCAAATGAAGAGGATCAGATTGAAAGAAGTCCTACATGTGCCAAAAATGAAGAAGAACCTCCTTTCGGTGAGCAAACTTATATCACATGGTTGTAAGGTTCAATTTGACATGAATGGATGTTTTTTCAAGACATTATATGGCCAACATGTTGTCAAAGGCCTTAGAGATGGAAATCTCTACTTCATCAATTACAAAAAGGTGAATGGAGTTGAAGTGGCGGCATTTGCTGATTTTCCACAAGTTCAAGACAAGTTTGGAATTTGGCATCAACGACTTGGTCATTTGAATGCCAAATGTATGAAGGAGCTTCAATCCATGGTAAGTGGCTTGGATCTTAGTCAATTTAGCCACATTGCTATGACACTTACTTGTGAAGGATATATACAAGGCAAACAAGAAAAGGCTTCATTTTCAAGTTGACTTGCAACACGTGCAACAAAATTGTTGGAGATTATGCACTCAGATGTTTGTAGACCAATGAAGACACCATCAATTGGAGGAGTAAGGTACTTTATTAGATTCATTGATGATTTCTCAAGAAAGGTGTGGATTTACATTGTTAAAGCTAAGAGTGAATGTTTCTGAAAGTTTAAAGAATTTAAGGCTCTTATAAAGAAACAATGTGAGTGCAAGATCAAAGTGTTGAGAATGGACAATGGAGGTGAATACATGTCAAAGCATTTTGATGACTTCATGAAGATTCAAGGTATTGCAAGACAAACCTCTACTCCTTACACTCCACAACAAAATGGAGTTGTTGAAAGAGCAAATTATACCATTGTGGAGATGGCAAGGAGTATGCTTCATACACAAAACCTTGGGCATGAATATTGGGCGAAAGCTATGGTAAATACAGTGTACACAAAGAATAGGTGCCTTGTAAGTGCACTTACATCAATGACTCCATAAGAAGCTTGGAGTGGGAAGAAACCTTATATTTCACACATGAGGATTTTTGGATGCATTGCTTATGCAAAGGTACCAGATTGTATGAGGTCCAAACTTGATGCAAAAGGTACAAAATATGTATTTGTTGGATATTATGAAGGTACCAAAGCATATAGGCTAATGTATTTAGAAACCAAGAAGATCATCAAAAGTTGTGATGTAGAGTTTTTGGAGCATAAGAGTGCTTTTGAGCACTTAGAAGAGTGTCCAAGTGGGAGTAAAGGTGTGTTTGTGGATACATCTTCAAGTTCAGCAAAGAAAGAAGAAGAAGAAGATGATGATGACAATGAAGATGGAGGAAATAGAAGTCAAGATCAAGTGCCAAAGAAGGTAAATCATAGTGTGCCTTCAATTGCTAGAACCAACAATGAAGACAATGAAGATATTGAAGGTGATGATGATGATGAAGAATATCAACCTTTAAGTGAGAAAAGACAAGCATTGAGGAAGAAGAAGGATGGAATGCAAGAAGAAGGGTCTTCTTCAAATGAAAGGAGATATCCTTTGAGAGAAAGAAAACCACGTGGTGAATGGTGGAAGGACAACATCTTTTCTCAAGTAAGTGAAGAACATGCCAATGTTATACTTCTTGCTGATCCGTTGAGTTTATGTGATGCAATGAAGTCCACGGATGCATTGAAGTGGGAGAATGCTATGGAAGAAGAATACAAATCACTCATGGACAATGGAACATGGGAATTGACTCAACTTCTACCAAATCGATCTTCAATTGGTTGTAAGTAGGTGTTTACAACCAAAAGGGATGCAATGGGCAATATTGTGAGATACAAGTCTAGATTGGTTGCCAAAGGCTACTCACAAGTTGCTAGTGTAGATTTTAATGAGACATTTTCTCTCTTGGCAAAATTCACCACTATTAGAACCATTGTGGCAATTGGGGCAACAATGGATTTGGAAATGCATCAAATAGATGTGAAGACGGCTTTCTTGAATGGAAGTTTGAAAGAAGACATCTATATGGATCAACCTCAAGGATTTGTTGAAGAAGGCAAACAACACCTTGTTTATAAGTTAAAGAAATCCTTGTATGGGCTAAAGCAATCACCAAGGGCATGGTACCAATGCATTGTTACATTCTTTGTGAATGAAGGATTTGTAAGGAGTGAGGCTCATCATTCCTTATATGTGATGCAATCAAATGAGTTCATATTGATTGTCATCCTTTATGTTGATGATTTGATCATCTTAACTAATACATTGAAGATGATGGATTGGTTGAAGATAAATTTAAAAAAGGAGTATGAAATGAGTGATTTGGGAGAGCTTCACTATTGTTTAAGAGTAGAGTTTGTAAGAGATCGTGCTAAGAACACCATTACAATGAGCCAAAGCAAGTACATTGAAGAAGTATTGAAACGATTCAACATGGAGCAGTGTAAGCCTATTGGAACACCATTGGAGGCAAATTTGAAGTTGATGAAGCTCACAGATGAAGAGTTTGCTGAAGTTGAAGGTCAAATACAAGGTGTTCAATACAAGGCAGTAGTAGGCTCACTTATGTATGCAATGGTTGGCACAAGGGTGGATCTTGCATATGCGGTGAGTGTTGTGAGTCAACACATGTCAAAGGCTGGACCAATCCATTGGAAAACCATCAAAAGGATCATGAAGTACTTAAAAAGTACTTTGAACTTCAAATTATGCCTTGGAGGTGATAACATTAGTTTGCATGGTTATTGTGATGCGAATTAGGCTGAAGATGCAAATGATAGAAGGTCAACAATGGGGTATGTATTCTTTGTTGGAGTGGGAGCAATTTCATGGAATTGCATGAGACAACCAACAATTGCAAGGTCAATAATGGAGGCGGAGTATATGGCAGCAAGCCATGGTGTAATGGAGGCAATATGGTTAAGACAACTTTTGGAGGACATTGGAGATGTGCAAATGGAAGCAACTCCAATGAAGTGTGACAATCAAGGATGTCTTGCATTTGCAAAGAATCCAAAGCATCATTCAAGGATCAAGCACATTGATATTCAACATTACTTTATAAGAGAGAAGATTGAAATGGAAGTGATTGATATGAAGTATTGTGCAACGGAGGACATGCTTGCTGATTTGTTGACAAAGGCATTAGTAAAGGATAGACACCACATGTTAACAAAGGCATTAGGCTTAAAAGGCATTTGACCAATAGCAAAGTGGGAGTATTAAAGTAAAAGTAAAAAATATTATCTTATATAGGATATTACCTTAGGTAAGTTGTTACTGGTCAAAGGTTTGACTCTTGGTATATCGTAAGGGCATCCAATGGATATAAGACGAAGTCATGGACCAAGAGTCAAAGTCAAAAGGATAAAGTATTAACAAGGAAATATTCCAAGATTAAATATGAGTCATTAGTGTGTGTCATAAGATACCCTTGTAGTTCGTGAAATGCCAAAGGATCCTAAGAGCATGTGTGTAAGACGTAAGAGTAATTAGTATTGGACATAGGATACTCTTGGGACTCGTGAGATGCCAAAAGGATCCTAGCGCCATGTGTATAAAAGTCAAAGAGTGGACGTTGTCTTTTAGGGCAGCAACTACCACCTATAAGTAATAGGTGTTGGAAAAGAGAGACATCTTACTCCATACTCTGTTTGTGTGCAACCTTGCTGATGCTAAGTGTTGTGTCTTCTAAGTACTTGTTTTCTTAATATATCCATGAGTTACATCAAAAAAAATTGATGCTAAACTTGAAACTGGTCAATCCATGTCAAATTTCATTGCAAAACTCAAACCCATTATGAGTGAGCTTTGTGAACTTGGAGATACTTCTTTTTCAGAAAATTTCATGATATCATAACTCACGGCTAATCTGCCAGCTGGCTTCGATAATTTCATCACTACTTAGGAAAGCACCTCTAGAGACGATCGAACCTTACCTAATCTGAAACTTCGATTACTTAAAAAAGAAACAAAGATTCTAAGCAGAATTCAACAAGAAGCTTCTCCTGAAACTAAGCCTTATATGCAAGCCGAGGACGTAATTCAAACAATGGGAATAATACACGTTACTCTTCCTACAATAATTTTCATCCCCACAGGCTATATCCAGGTACGTCTTCTAATTTTTTTAATTCTTTTCCATTTTCTCAACCTTCCAATTATCATTCTCCAGCTTATGCTCCTCGTTTACCATCTCCTCGGCTACCTTCACAATATTTTGACCTCTTCTATCATCAGCGGAAAGCAGTCTACCCTCTCTTGTTTGTTTACAAAAATTTTGTAACCTCGAAATTGCTGAAATGAAAAGGCGTACTCGATGTAATCAGTGCGGGCTTCTTGACCATTAGTGACAAGAATGTGAGTAACATCTCAATAATTTTTACTCTAGATCAAACTTGCAACAATCGCCAGCCTCTACGCAAGAATCTCTTGCTGAATCATATGATTCACCGAAACAACTTTTATATCAAGATCATTTCTATTCGCCTGTCGACATTCAATCAACATCTACTTCTTATGACGAATCACATCAACAACCTGAGCATTTGAATTTTTATGAATCGGATTTGCACTACTCTCAATTTTCTACAGATGTTACTCGCGCTTATATAGCTCCTACTTCACAAGATTTTTCCAACGACTGGATCGCAGATAGTGGAGCAACTGAGCATATGACTAATAAATTACAATGGTTTGTGAAATACACTCCACTTCCACGTAATGCTATATGGCAGGTTGAGACTCCAGCAGATCACGAATGTTACGTCACTAGCACCGGTAACATCAAGATTCTTGCTCAACTGCCTACTCAAATAGAAGTGCATCTTCTTCAAAACATTCTTTATATACCTGATTATGGGAGCAACCTTTTCAGTCTCACTAAGGTTGCCCGACAGAACAAGGTCTTCACACTTTGTAAGGATAATTCCTGTGAATTAATTCAAAATAACACTCTGATCATGACGGGCCACAGGATCTAGGGCTCTTACATTCTTCTTTTGCTAGCTACTGTTTCTTACGCTTACTCTTTCGGCAATACATCATCCTTCGACGAGTTACAAGACCTCCATACGTGGCATCTTCGTCTTGGTCACCTTCATTACAACATGATTAAAAGAATGGCGTTAAATGGCTCTATTAGTGGCCTTCGACTCAAGCAAACTGAACCACCAAAGTATGCAAAGCCATTTATCGAGATACTGGGCATAGAGTACTTACCCTACAAACCGATAAGGCTGGAGAGTTTTGCAGTCAAAAATTCACTCACTACCTACACACCGAAGGCATCAAACATGAGCTCACGATACCCTATACACCAAACAAAATATGGTTTCAGAACGAGACAATTGTACTATAATGGAGGCCGTTCGAAGCACTATTCACTATGCCAGTTTAGATCCAGCTTTTTGGGCCGAGGCCGTCGACAATATTGTTTACACACTTATTCTCGCCTTCTTCCCACTGTTACACCCTTTGCAGCATACACAGGGAAGAAGCCATCTCTCGCTCACATGCGTCCTTTTGGCTGAAGGTCTTCGTTCATATTCCTACTCAATTAAGCAAGAAATTAGATCCTAAAAGCCAACCAGGCGTGTTTCTAGGATACTCTGATGAATCGAAAGGGTACCGCATCTGGGATTTAGCTCGCCAACAAGTAATTCTCAGTCGTGATTTTATATTTTATGAATACATTTATATTACTCTAACGACATCCTCTACTCCAAAAAGCACAACTATTGTACCAATACAAGAACCGTTCACAACTTCAAAACGCCGCTCTCTGATGAAAATCAGCAATAATATCAATTTATCTTCTCCATCCACTTTTGATCATATAAAACCAGATTTTTCGAATCCTCATCAGATTCTACTTGCGACATTCATTGATTCTGAAGACACTTCGACTTCTTCCCGAACATATCGAGATCACAGTCTTCATCTCTCTTCTGTCGATGCTACTATTCATGATTTAGATTCTTCTGACAGCAACTGTCATCCACATGCACAACACAATCCAAAATCTCAAGAACAACCCTCCTCTCTCGTTGTCGATCTTCCAAGTACTCGAAAACCTTCCAATAGATTCGGTTATTCTCAATCTGACTGGAGATATGCTACTGCGAAACTCTGTTTTAATTCTACCCTCTGCTTTGACTTCACATTTTGCATCAACTTCAAATTTTGTATAGAATTCCACTCCTTTGACAACTTCGACAGATCCAGAATCATCAACTTCTCACCTTCTAGCAGTACCACAAACGTATCAGGAGGCGCTTGCTTCCCCGTATTACGAACATTGGAAAAATGCCATGCACGGGGAGTTCGATTCTTTGTTAGACAACAATACTTGGGAGTTAATTGATTTATCCTTTGGTCGTAAACCTGTAATACTACATACTCTAAGTACATTGCATGCTATATGGTAGCCAAAAAAATCATCTGGTGTCGTCGACTGCAACATGAGATTGGTTTCCCTTACTCTTTACTCCGATTCTTAGAGTACTCCGATTCTTAGAGTACTCCGATTCTTAGAGTGCTATTCGACTGGCTCTAAATTCAGAATTTCATTAAATTCTATAAGTACAAAGCACTTTTATATCAAATACCATATGCTCAGTAAACAAGTAAAGAATCACATTTTTAAAATCGCATATATTTCTACAAGTAACTGACATTTTCACAAAAGTACTAACACATGATAAATTACAATCCTTACTCTCAATTCTTCATGATACCTCTCCATTCAAGTATAAATATTACTTCTACATTCAATGCAGAAGTCATTCTTTAGTGGAAGTTTAGTAACTAGTATATGACTAGTAAAAGATATTGAAGAAAAGAAGTCTAAAAGCTACAAACACTTAGCATCAACAAGGTTTGTATACAAAGAGAAGTGTAGAGTAAGATAACTCTTACTTCCAACACCCTTTATTTATAGGTGGTGGTTGTTAACCAATGAGGCAACTTCCATCCTTTTGATATTACATCCATTTTTACTTCATCCAACTTAACCTTAGGTTCTTTCTTAACATAGTCGCCACTAACAAATCCTAGCTACTACTGTAGTAACTTCATTTAACTCTTTGCTACCTTTTGACTATTAGCAATATACTATGCTTAATCTCTATGGAATTGTAACTAAGCAAGTACTTCTGCTGATCTTCAACACTCCCACTTTGTTAATTTTCAAAAAGCTTTCAATAATAATCTCTATATCAACTCGTGATGTCTATCTCTCACTAAAACCTTTGTAAACACATCAGCAAGCATGTCATTTGTAGCACAATGCTCATACCTATTATTCCATCTTTAATTTTTATTGATATAAAATAATGTTGAATACCAATGTGCTTGGTCTTTGAATGGTATTTTGGATTCTTGATAAATGTAAGATATATTTGATTGTTACATATAATTAGAGTTGCTTCTAATTGCACTAGTCCAATGTCTTCTAAGAGTTGCCTTATCTAACACGCCTCCATTGCATAATGACTTGCTGCCATGTACTCTACCTCCATTGTTGATCTTGCATTGGTAGGTTGTCTCTTGCAATTCCATGAAATAGCTCCCACTCCAATAAAAAAGACATATCTTTTTGTGGATCTTCTATCATTTGCATCTCCTTTTAGTCCTAACCACCCATTTATAATTAATTTTAAATCGATTTGCTGGAAGAGGTGTCAATTCCCATGTACTATTGTCCATAAGAGATTGGTACTCTTCTTCTATATTCTTCTCACACTTGATTGTTTCTTGGGACTTTAAAGCATCAACAAGAAGAGCAACATTTGTATCTTCTTCATTTATTTGAGGAAAGATGTGATCCTTCGACCATTCACCATGTTGTCTTCTTTCTCTCAAAAGATATCTCCTTTCATTTGTAGAAGAAGATTCACCTTGTTGCACTCTATGTTCTTTTCCAATCTTCTTCTCTCTTAAACCTTGTAGTTTCTCAATTAATGGTTGGTATCCCTCAGCATCATCATCATCATTGAAATCTTCAATATCTTCAATTCCTTTATTGCTGTTCATAGCAATTGTATGAGCCTTTATCTTTTCAACCATCTTTGGCTTTTCATCTTCATCATCTTCATTGTCTTCATCCTCTTGTTTCTTTGCTGAATTCAAAGATGTATCTACAAACACACCATTACTCCTACTTGGACACATCTCCAAGTATTCACAAGCACTCTTGTGCTCCAAAAACTCAACATCACGACTTTTGATGATCTTTTTGGTTTCCAAGCACATTAGCCTTTATGCCTTAGTACCTTCACAATAACCAAGAAACATACACTTTGTACCTTTTGCATCAAGTTTGGACCTCATATAATTTGGTATTTTTGCATATGCAATGCAATCAAAGGTCCTCATATGAAAAATGTAAGCTTGTCTCCTACTTCAAGCTTCTTATGGTGTCATTGATGCAAGAGCAATTGTTGGATACATATTTCTTATATACACTGCATTCACCACAATTTTCGCCCAAAACTCATACCCAAGATTTTGAGCATGAAGCATGTTCCTTGCCATCTCTATAATCATTCAATTAGTACTTTCAGCAATACCATTTTGTTGTGGAGTGTATCGAGTTGTGGTTTATCTAGAAATTCCTTCATTCTTCAAATAAACATCAAATTGCTTAGACATATACTCACCTCCATTGTCCGTACATAGCACCTTGATCTTCCATTCACTTTGTTTTTTAATAAGTGCTTTAAACTCCTTAAATCTCCAAAAGCATTCATTCTTAGATTTAAGAATATAGGTCAAAATCTTTCTTGAATAATCATCAATGAAAGTGAGAAAATACCTTGATCCTCCAATACTTATATTCTTCATAGATTCACATACATCAGAATGGATAATTTTTAGCAACTTGGTAGCACATATTGCTATGCTATTTGGAAATGAGGCTCTTTGTTGTTTGCCTTGTATGCATCCTTTATATATAAGTTGTTTTGCATTTTGGCTTGTATTGCCAAGATCTAAGCTACTTACCATAGACTTGAGTTCTCTGATGTTCTTTACATTCAAATGGCCAAAGCAATAATGCCATATGTTCAATTTATCTTAGTTTGATGTAAATTCAGCAAATGTGGCTACTTCCACTCCATTCACCTTCTTACAAATGAGGTAGTACAAATTTCCCTCTTTAAAGCCTTTGAAGACCTTATCTCCACTTAATGTTCATACAAAATATCTATTCATTTCAAATTGAACTTTAAAACCTTCCATTACAAGTTTACTCATCAAAAGTAGGTTTTGCTTTATCTTAGGCACATGATAGATGTTTTTGAATCTGATCTTATTGGTTTGTCCATTCACAATCACCTCTACTATAATAGAGCCAATTCCAATGGCTTCACATGTGCTACTATCTACCAACATTCGATGTTGAAATAGCCTTATAAGTGCCAAATGAACACTTACAAGATGTCATATACTTAGAACAATCTAAATCTATAATCCATCTTGACATGGTAGCCATAGATGTCTCATTTGTTGCTAAGAATATATAATTATATTCTCCAAATTCATCTTGCACAATATTTGTATTCTTCTTCTCCATTTTTTTGCCTTTGTAGTAATTTTGAGCAAAATGGCCTATTTTGCTACAAATGAAGCAAAATTTGATATTATCTTATTGATTTGAATAGTTGCCCATGCCTTGACATAAGTAGAGTACTGAATCTTCACTTTGGAGCTCATTTTCTTTCTTCTTGGTTACTTCATGGACAAACCTTGCTGTCACATAGTCCAGTCTAAGCTCTTTTAGCTTAATGGACTCCAATGCCACAATAAAATAATTGTAGGATTTGAGAAGGCTCATCAGCAAGATCATGACAATATCACTTCTTTCTAAAGGCTTGTCAATAATTACTAGTTGGTTTGCAAGAGCCTTTACCTTATTGACATGAGCCATGAGGTCTTGACCTTCTTTCATCTTGCAAGTGAAGAACTTCCTCCTTATATAGATGATGTTAGATAAGTTCTTGCTCTCATAGATGTTGCAAAGAGTCTTCCATACTTCCATTGGTCCTTTCCAAGAGACAATGTAGGAGAAGTTGGCTTCATCCACATTGATTGAAATCAATCCAAAAGCCTTCTTTTTACAACATTTGAATTCCTTCTTTCTCCTTCATATCAACATCTATGCTTGGAGCCTCTTCACTTTCATCTACAATATCCCAAAGGTCCAAAGATGCAAACAAAAGTTCCATTCTTATCTTCCATTGGTAGAAATTTTCACCTCTAAACTTCTCAATTACTCTCAATTCTTCATCTTCACTTGAAGCCATGTTGAAGAAAGAGATGTATCAAAAAAAGATTGAAAGAAGAAGTCCAAATGCTCTCAAAATCAGCAAGAAAGTATTGGGTCCTTAGAATCACAGAACCCTTCTTTGTCAACAAACTAGTGTTCTTACTCTCAAAAATACTCTCAACTTCACTTCTAAGACTTCTCACAAGTCTAATGACCTATCTAAATGTCTCAAATTTGAATTGCCACTCAAATATCACTCTTATGCTCACAAATCACCTCTATACACCATAAGAGATCTTTTAAGCACAATCAACATCTTTAAGACATGAAACTACAAAGTTAAACCACCAAGGATCTATCTCAGCGAAAAATACAATACAAGTGTTCTATAACTTTGTCTTAAGGTGAAAAACTAAACACCAACACCAAAATGCTCTTAACTACAAGTAAAAGCAAAGCAATATCAAGATCTAGATGTGAATCTGAAAGTTAGGTACTTCTAAAGTCTAACATCAACAACAATAACTTGATCTACTCCACACATCAAGAACCACTTCAAAGAACTTCAAAACACTCAAGCAAATGTGTGTGGGTCCATAACCTATTGAAGAAAAGAAGTCTAAAAGCTACAAACACTTAGCATCAGTAAGGTTTGTATACAAATAGAAGTATGGAGTAAGATAACTCTTACTTCTAATACCTTTTATTTATAGGTGGTGGTTACTAACCAATGAAGCAACTTCCATCCTTTTGATATTACGTCCATTTTTACTTCATCCAACTTAACCCTTCGTTCTTTCTTAACCTAGCTACTACTAACAAATCTTAGCTACCACCATAGTAACTTCCTTTAACTCTTTGTTGCCTTTTGACTATTAGCAATATACTATGCCTAATCTTTATGTGGTTGTAATTAAGCAAGTACTTCTACTGATCTTTGACAAAAGAATGATCAATTGAAATCAATTAGCTTGTGTATTTTTTTTCAATATAATAAAAAAAATTATGTTAAAAATAAAATTATAAAACATCTCTCATGGAGCACACTTTAGCTAAATAATCTAATAATATCAAGCTACTACTATGGTCATGCTCAAAGAGCTAAGATTAACACTAGATTGTAAAAACCACAAAGAATTCATCTCAATACATACATATATAAATAAATAAACACACTAAGTTGTGAAAATAATTTGGACTTATAAAAATTCTACAAATAATATAGTGGTTTTAAAAATTATATGCCATACTTGATGTAGATAAGATTAATAAATAAAACATAAACCATTAATAAAATATGTTTTTAACTAATAGTGGAAATTATTGTATGTTTGAATTAAGTTCTTATGAGGCACCTTGTAACATTTTAATTTTGTGGTATGATTTTATGTAATAATTTCAAATATTAAAATTAGTAGAATATTTTAGATAAATGTTTTTAAAAGATCATAAATTTTAAATGTTTTACAAAAACATATGACTGTGATTTAAGTTTTAAGTTTTTTATTTTCTCACTATTTCATTTAAAGGATCAATATTTTGTGGTGAAAGTTACATAACATTCTCTTGCAATACGAGGATAAGTCAAATGAATCGAAGGCTGAAGCTGATAAAGCTAGAAGAATAATTTCAAAATTTCCCAATTAAGAAGCGAAGCTCCTTAGACCGCCCAATGTCGAGACTCCTCATCCAGTATCCACGATGAATGTCGTATTTTTCATCCATCAGATCATGATCCGAAGGATGACGGTATTCATCCACGACAAGGCCCTCGCCTCGTTGAGCTTGCACTCAGGGATGAGGGAGTAGGGCCAGGGCGAGGGCGGAAGCATCGCGTGCAGGGCTGAATCTCGCACTGAGTGACTGAGTGCGGCATCGCCTGCTTCCAATCCCCCAATTCTACGTAGCGTCGATCCTGCCTCGTTTGCCCGCATTTGATGAGACGCAGAACGAAATTCTTACAGGCACCCTGCATTCGTCTCATTTTTACTCCATTTTTTGGACATAGTATAAGTTTGAAGGCACAGTTGCGGGACAAAATTGAAAAGAAAGGATAGAGGTGAAGTTTGTGTTACGATGGTAGACGCATCGGCGGCCGTGGCCGCGAGGGCGATTTTAATGTCTGGTCCATTGACGGAGACGACGGGGAGCGAGGGCGAGGAGAGCAGTGCCGACGTTGCCGCGAAAGGGAAGCCTCTCTCGGCAGAAGAGTACGCGCACGTGGCTCTGGAGAAGTTGTTTGCGTCGCCGCTCTTTGCCTCGTCGGTATGTTCCCCTTTTTTCTTCTCATTTTCTGGTATTGAGGAGATGGTATGGAATTCTGATGTTTTCTTTCGACATTTCAAGGAAGATCGGATCTGAGTGTGCCTTGCAGAAACGAGCGGTCTTGTTGTTGCTTTAATCTATTGGTCTATTATGGCATGCTCTAGTTTGGTTGTCTTTGTCATGGTTTTTATTTTTATTTTTTATTGTTTTTATTGTATATTACAGTGGTTGCGCGTAAAGTCGAATTTTCCTCCCGATCAGGACTAGAAGTACTAAATGTGTAACAGGGCTTTAGAGTCGTCCAATTGTATTACGGGCCAATGTTTTTTTAATTACAATCTTACAGCGTTCTCTGGTCTTTGAGTACATGGAAGTCTACACATATCTTGCCACCAGAGGACTCTGTAATTTTTTTAAGCCGAAGAAGAATAAGGTTGTTAATTTCACATTATTGTCAGTGTACGATATAGGTCTTCCAAGTATCCAGCTGCAGAGGATGGTATCACAACTGATCGTCAGTGAATGCATCTCTCCTTAGGGTTTTTATTTTTGAATTTTTTTATTTTTATTTTTTTCAGAACATAGCCAGGATGGTTAAAAGATTTAGTATACAGTGGATGAAAGTTCCGGTGGACTTGCTATTTAATTTTGGGAGTGCTCTCGAGCATTTCAGCATTTAGAGGATCTAGTTGGTTAAAATTTCGGTAGAGATAGATAGTATTTGATAGGAATTGGATTTTGCTAGACTACTTGTGGCATTACAGTATTGAGTTGAATCTTCATTTCAATGTCTTCTTGGTTGAATTCAAACTGAGTTTTCTTTACACTGCATCAGCTTCCTTTCATTACATTCCTTCTTCACCTTGCTTTCATTTATCACATTTATGAATGAGGCTTCATTATATGTAGGATGCTGAGCTAGGAGAAGCAGAACAGCAAGCAGCTGATTTATCTGTCACAGCTGGCGATCTCACATTTGGAGACGAGTCTGGGTAAGCGCGACGTTCTCACTTTCAAAGAGCTTCACGTAGATATACAGACTTACAAATTCGTGTAAAGTCTGGATGGGAAATATAACCCCCCGTTGTTGGATATTCATTGGTACGATAATGGTGCATCTCCATTTGCAACAGGTGCTATTAGTTTAGGGATACGTGCCAAGTCTGCGCATGAGCTAGGTACCCTTAACCTATGACAATCTTTACAGCATCTACGCTAGCCGATTAGTCATCTCAAAATGAGGCCTCTTGAGTCTGAGAAGGGTATCTGTTATGTTTTCTTATTGTTTCTAAAGCTTTCACTCTATTTATTTAGGGCAGAAGATATTTACTGAGTTTTCTTTATCTATCTGACAGCGATGAAGTGGATTTAGAGGGGCTGGAGGAAGAGTTAGAGCGCCTCAAAGGTCACCAGGTATTTCCAGCTCTGCTTGTCTACTTTAAACGCAGATGAATGAAGTATCTCTTTATAATCTGCTAATGAACTTTTCACAAGCGTGTGTGTGTGCTGATGTGGCAATATCTGTGGGTCGATGTCTCTTTTCTTACACTTGTTCTTAAATTCATCTGTTTCCTACTGCTATCGTTTTATCCTGTTAACTCAAGAAAAATTGTTTTCAAACATACGGAATTAGCCCGAGACTGATTTTCGCGTTCTGCAGATGGTAGGAAGCATCCTTGGTCAGGGGATTCAATTGCGGGAGTACGCAGTTGAGGTTGAGGAGAACCTACGCCAAGTGGAGCTTGAATCCATTCAGGTTGTCCAATCCTCCTGTATAAGTTATAAAAGAATCCTGAGATGGTTCAGCTGGATTGCTCGTCTTGTCAATTTTTCTTTATAATTTATGTCGTAAGCTGTGTACTAGAGATATTTTACTTGAAAGTATTTTTCAGATGGTAACTATGTTAGTTTTGCTCTTTTCCTTGCGTGCAGGACTATATGAAAGAAAGTGACAATCTGGTGTCTCTTCATGCTCAAATACGAGAATGTGATACGATCTTGACGCAAATGGAGTCATTGCTTGGTGGTTTTCAGGTCATTAGCTGGTTCATTGAAGTCATATCTGTTAATCTAAATGCTGCCTTAGCAGTATCTGATGATTGTATATTATAGCCGTTTAAGGTGAAACATGCCTTGGTTTGTTCCGTATGCGTCAAGGTTTCTGTGTGGCTCGCTTCTTTGATGCTGAGGTAGTATTTTGTCCTACTCAGGCAGATCTAGGATCGATAAGTTCAGAAATTAAGAACCTTCAGGAGCAGTCAATGAGTATGGGAATTAAACTTAAGAACCGGAAGGTATATCTTTCTACATTCAACTTGTACTTATGGTGATATTTAGTAATTATGTCTTTCAGGGTCTTCATAGAAGATGTTGTTCATTCTTATTATCATCACTTTCGATGTTGTATACTTTCTTTTGTATTTCCCCCCTCCCTCATTCGTTTACTTGCATGCTTTCTTGGATTTGGTTGGATCTATCTCTTTGTGTGTAGGTCGCAGAAGCAAAATTGGCAAAATTCTTAGAGGAAGTGGTAGTTCCCCCAAATATGATTGACACAATTGTTGATGGAGAGGTATGTCTCCATCCTTTCAACTCTTATTGGTTACAGGTCCATGACCTGAATTGTCACGTGATTAATGTCCCTAGACATCTGCTGAACACTGCTGAACACATCTGCATGTAGAATTCTGTTGACAAGTTCTGTCTTGAGTTCTTGCAGGTCAACGAGGAATACGTCAACGTCCTTATGGTGTTGAGTAAGAAATTAAAGTATGTAGCTGAAAACGTTGGCTCTAAAGATTCCCTGGCAATGGAAGATGTTATTCCAGAATTTGAGAAATTGCGCTCCAAGGCAGTCTACAAGGTGGTTTGCTGACCTGGTACTCATTTTTTGGTTTTGTGTATCGTTGTGTGTGTGTGTGCGGGAAAGAGCTGGGCTTATCATGAAGGAAATATCTAGAAGGGCATTCGTTAATGACTGAAGAATTCTGGAAAAGTTACTTTCATGGTTAATGTTGTGAAATAGGTGATGTTCTGAAGTTTATCTTTCAACTATGCAGGCAAGAGAATTTTTGATGCAGAAGCTTTATGCTTTGAAGCGGCCTAAAACGAACATCCAAATCTTGCAGCAGAATGTCCTCTTGAAGTACAAGTATGCACTCGTTACTTAGAAGATTGCATATTTAAGTGCAGGAATGTTTTAGTTTATTCTGGCGCCCTTTTCACTAGCTCTGCCGGTTCTTCTCAACTCACTTGTTTCTTCTTCGGTTATGATCCTTGCTCATAACGTTTTAAAGTTCTGCCTTCTTAACTCGATGCAGGTATGTGGCAACGTTCCTACAGGATCATGGTCACGAGGTGTACCCAGAAGTGCGAGCGGCTTATGTTGACACTATGAACAAGGTAATTACCAACTTCAGGATTTGCAACTTGAGGCATTATAACTTTGCTATGGTTGCAAATTGGGAAATTTTATCGATTTTATGCTGCTTCCAAACCTTGGTGAATAACTTCTTGAATGTTATTTGTAGGTTTTGAGTGTGCATTTCCGGAGCTACATTCTAGCTTTGGAAAAGCTTCAGCTTGACATAGTGACGGCGAATGATCTTTTAGGAGTTGAGGACTTGGGTACTCGAAGTACTGGCCTATTTTCTCGACCCAGGGAGCCTCTTAAAAACCGTGGGGCTGTCTTTGCGCTTGGTAATCGAGCCTTCGTGTTGAAGGTACTCAATATCTTTCTACAAGCTCTGTGAACGTCGCACACACTCATTTGTCCTTATCTAAGCATGATGTGCTGACTGTAAAACTTTGTGTTGGGTTTCATCCTGGAATGCAGGACGTGGATGGACCAGCGATTATTCCTCACATTGCTGAATCTAGTAACCAAAAGTTTCCATATGAAGTTCTGTTTCGTAGTTTGCACAAGCTTCTTATGGACACTGCAACTTCTGAGTAAAGTGCTTTCCCCTTCAGGCTAGCTAATTGTGTTGCTTTTTAGTGGTTTGTGATTGAGAGTTGAGGCTGAAGTGCGCACAGAGACGATTTCACCGATAACTTTTTATTTTTTCTTTCTTCGGAGACCAGCTTTTCTTATTGTTGGTTGCAAATACCATGTAGGTATTTATTTTGCACAAGCTTTTTTGGAGAAGATGGGATTTTTAATGAAATTTTTTCTGGTATGATCATCTTCAGCTCTTGGTTATTTTGTAGCATGAGTGGACTGTTAGCATGATTCTAGCTCTGAGTTGTAAGTTTTATATTGTTTTATGTTTAGCGTACTCACCCTCTCATTCGGAACTCTTCAGGTTCTTTCGCTGTCATTGAAGAGCACACAAATGCAGTTCTACCAAACTGTTTTGATGCAATCGGCCTATTGCTCATGATTCGACTCACGAATGAACATAAGGTGATTCTAACTTTTTCTTTAATGTCGTAGCGAAGCACTAGCTATACTTCGATTCATGTTTACTATCGTTTTTTGAATCATGTAGTTGGTAGTCGGAAATTTGACTTGCTTTCATTGGATGCAGCTCATCATGTGGAATAGGCGGATTCCCTCTCTGGACTCTTACTTTGACAAGGTTTTACCTTCGCGCCTACTCAGCCTGTTTCTTGCATTTGAGCGTCATGTACTTTGCCCTTTGTAATATCTCATGAATGCTGCACACGTTACTTTCAGTATGTTTAAAAGCATAGCTTAAATCTTATATACATGTAATTCCAATATACACGTACCATTTGGGTATCAAACCTTATTGAGGTGGAATGCAGTTGGTCCTGGTGTTATGGCCGCGCTTCAAAATGGTCTTCGATATGCATCTCAGTAGTTTACGAACTGCGAATCCCCGAGCACTTTGGGAGGATGATGTTCGTCCTCATTATGTAACTAGGCGCTATGCTGAATTTGCCGCAAGTCTTCTCCACCTTACAATCAAGTATGGAGATGGTCAGGTGTGTTTGATATTCGTGGGCTTTCTAAAAACTTGACTATATATTCTGTTTCTCGTCTTTCTGTTTGACTTGGTAGTGTGCTGGCTTCCCCTTCACTGGCAACAACTGTCAACTTGATTTGACGCCTAATTTTACTTCCCAACAACTAATGAATACCGATTAACCTAATGTGAGTTGTGCAGTTGGATTTAAATTTGGAGCGATTGCGTGTGGCAATAGATGATTTACTGGTTAAGCTTTCACGAATGTTCCGGCAGCAAAAGCAGCAGACGACATTCCTCATCAACAACTATGACCTCGTACTTTCTGTTCTCAAGGTTTGCTTTTATTCCTAATAAGTCAGCCCTGTTATTTTGGTTCACTAAAACAAAAGTTGGGCGTGATATTGATACACACATATGGAGGCTTTATCTAACAGGATCTGGTTGTTAATTCTGATTCAGGAAGCTGGCACAGATGGTGGTAAAACACAACAGCAGTTTGAGGAATTGCTGAAAGGCAGTACTACTGTATTTGTGGTATGTTCTAGCGCTACATTGGTTGCCTGTGCTCAGTCGACATTTCTTACATTCAATAAGATAGCTATGTGTTCACCGCTACAAAACATTTGCCTGTAAATTGTGACTATCTTATGCAGGAGGAGGAGCTCAGGGAGCATTTTGGAGCACTCATTGCATTTGTAAAAACACGAGCAGGTTTACTATTAACGTTTCTTTGAATTCACACCTTTACTTTGGCAATACCTCAGGTAATCTTTTAGGAAACTTATTTGTGAAGCTTGCTGCGTATTTTACGGCTTGCTTGTGGACCATGTTAGGTGAGGATTCTGGGACCAGCAATGCACAACCTATAAAGCTGGAAGAAGTTGAACCCTTGGTGAAGGACTTCGCAGTTCGATGGAAGACTGCAATTGAAGTCATGCACAAGGATGTTATCACGTCGTTCAGCAATTTTGTGTGTGGTATGGAGATCCTGCGTGCGGCACTTACGCAGCTACTTCTGTACTATACACGATTATCCGACTCGCTCAAGCGTGTCGGTGGGGGTGCTGCACTTGGCAAAGATGTGGTATCAATATCCTCAATCATGCATGAGATTAAGAAGTATTCTAGGACTTTCTAAGTTCCTTCCTAGAGCTTCTCGTTTTCTTCTGCAGTTTTGATCTCTTTTTAAAGACCTCCAATGCCTCAGTCAGTACTCTATTTCCCTCCTTCACGACCATAGTTGTGAGGATGCTTCACTGATTCTTTCACTTTCCAGTGTCTATCTAAAACCTTTCGAAAATCCATTGCTGACTGATTATTATGATTGCTCAAGTGAGCAATCATTCTTATCAGCTCAAGTGTACAGAAACAGTTGGAAGCCCCTTGGCTAAGCAAGGTATTTGTAGAGAAATAGCCACTCATGAATTTGGGTACCTACGAAATTATATCTCTAGGTTTGCTTCAGCCACTTCAATTCTTGCTAGACAAGATATTCTTGTGATGGTGAAGCTAGTTCCTTTATTGACTATGATTTGTCTCTTAGTTATGATTGCTTCATCTGCGTAGTAATGAATTTAGAGACAGTTATGCATAAAACATTAGCAGTATGTTCCTGCTTGCTTTGATCGTCTCCGATTGTCGTCTTAAGCGGAGTCTCCCACTTGGAGTAGATGTTCAATATATTTTTCACCAGTTTCGGTTTGTTCACTTAACAGTTTGTATCAGTGATGCTATTCTTCACAGATTCGTCTCTTTTATTGAAGAGACAACTTATGATGTTGCTATGGCTGTCTGTGGCACGTGTCATGAGAGTGAAAACATTCAAGATGTATTTGTTAAAAAGCATGTAAAAACCTGAACTATGCATCGCCAATATTAACTCATTTTCGACATTTCATATTTTAATCCAGACACTAAGTTGGTTCGTAATAGATATTTGGTTCACATCCGGTGTAATCTATTGCAAACAGGACCCAATGCCATATTCATGAATTTTGCAAGCTGTAACGTTCCTCTATATATTCTTCAGCTCATATTTGCCGCTATTTAATTCACATGCATTTTTAACTCGTTTGCTGGTAATGAGAAGTAGTGGAAAGACGTTAAGAATTAAGAACAATAGAGATAGTAGTACCTATTTATGTATATATACGTGTATATAGGTCCGACTATCTCTACGGTTTTCATTGTTTACTTTGATATATCAATGTAGAACTAAAGCCATGCACTTATGCTTATCAACCCATTTCACTAAACTTCACATCTGATTCAAGCGTGGAACACCTAGATGATGGATTTAGAGGATTGTCGAACTTGAACCTGGAGGAATAGCCAAACACAAGCTCATCGTCTATTTCGTTGTTGCTTAAGCTTGGAAACATTTGCACTGCATCTCGAAATCGATACCACGAGTTTGCAATTCCACATCATCTCTTCAAGGCTCCACGCAGCCGTCGCTTTCTTCCGCCACAAAATACATCTGCACCACATCAACAGTTCGCGATCGCGAGAAGATCCATGTCTAGACTCCGCCATGACGTCGTCGACACGAGGTCGGCGCCCCCGATCGACTGGTCTAGAATGAATGACCTTGAAGCACGTGCAGACTGTTACTAAGTCCTGGACGAGGGTCTTTCGAAGCCAGGTTTCTAACGACCGGTTACATTTTCACTTGATCAATTTTTTTTCTCTTTTACCCCAATTCCAGGATCGTCCCGGATTTTCCACTGGTGGGTCGTTACTTGAATTGCCTAGTGTTACTGTGAGTGTCTCAGAATCGAAGAAAAGAATATTCAGCTAATATTGTGTTGAGATGATGACTTCCATAATATGATGGAAGTTGATGGACCGACTCTAGGAGGCCCATACGACAGAATCTCTTTCCTAATATAGCGCACCTTGTCTATTTAATTTTTGAATAAAACCCTCCAACGACTCCGCCCACCAATCCCCGAAACAAATCCACCATCACGTCAGGAAAATTGGTGTAGACGAGTGAATTAAAAGGTCCAATCAGAAACTGCTCAGAAACTAATCTAATCTTTGGCTCTTACCTCAAAGAAGGTTATTATGGTAAACATAAAGGCCTCAAAGTATGATGCAGTAGTGACGTTGCAAAGTGTGGGATTCTATTACTCGAAATAATTTACTGTGTCCGGATTTAAGCGACGAAACGACTGTCTCCTGAGTTTTACGCCACTGACTTCAATGAGCATCTGTCAATGGCGGATTTACACCTTGTCTTATAGGAAAAGTATCAACAAATGAATAGACAATGATTTAAGCTACGAGTCTTTTGGGTAATGGGTGAGTCTGTCGGTAGGTTAAGTACGTAAGAAATGCATGTTTTGTCTTCCCACTGACTACAGTGATGTTTTCTCTCGAATCGGTTGTAGTTTCTCATCCTGTGTCTTGCCTTTCCGACCTCTGTTCGTTCACAGCGCGCAGACACACATATAGGACAGAGACGTATACTCCTCAGTACAAGCTTTCTCATCAAGCTTTGGATGATGCCGTGGTCTAAAACGCTATCCTGTTCAATTCGGCTATGTGCCGACTCCGATGTAAATTTGGAGGATGGTTCGTTTCACATGCACCGAACTGGTGAGCACTTGAATTGGAAGATTGTCGCAGACTTAGATCATGCCCTGTGCATAAACCTGGAGGTTCTCTGCCGCTGGAGATTTTCTGTCGCTGGAGATTTTCTGGACCCAATTTGCAGAGGAGGGGCACGATCAATCGACGTCTGGCGAAGGGGGAATTTGAAGAGCTAAATGGGCTGCAATTGATTGCTGGTAGTGGCAATGACGTCCAGGAAAGGGGCGACCTCGATTGATCAAGTTGAGTCCACGCTTGAAAAACTGACGTCACTGGTACCAGTCCGAGGAACGGAGGAGGGTGGCACGGTTGGGGTTGTATAGGTGGAAGCTAAGGATCAGGACAAGGAGTTCAATGCATCGAAGGAGCCGCCTTTTACCCTCGGCCAGATACGAGCGACTATTCCCAAGCATTGCTGGGAGCGGAGCACCACGCGTTCCTTGTGCAGCGTCGCGAACGACATAACTCTCGTGGTGGTTCTAGCTTCAGTTGCTTCAATTATCGACAAGTGGTTAAAGTGGGCGCTGTGCTGGTTTGCGCAGGGGACCATGTTCTGGACGCTCTTTGTGCAAAACCATGTCTGCGGACATATCAGTTTCTCCCCAAGCAAGCATCTGAACAACTTCTTGGGCCTCATCAAACACTCATTCATTCTAGTCCCCTACCACGACTATCGGATCAGCCATCGCGTTCATCATGCCAATCTCGAGACGTCGAGAACGACGAGTCGTGGTACCCCATGTCAGAGTCGCTCTATGAGACTCTCAGCGTCTTCCCGAGACTGGGCCGAATGCAGTTTCCTTTCCCTTTCTACGCGTATCCTTTCTACCTCTGGTGCAGGACGCCAGGCAAGAGTGGAACACATTACAGTCCTTCAAGGGATTTGTTCAATGCGAGCGAGTGGAAAGAAGTGCTCACCACCACCGCCAGTTGGCTCGTCATGGTGGCGATCCTGGCCGCTGCAGTCTCTCACATGGGCTTCCTGTGGACGTTGAAAGTCTACTTTGTGCCCTATGTCGTCAATATAGTGGACCTCCTTCGTCACATACCTCCACCATCACGGATACGAGAAGAGAATTCCCTGGTACCGAGGCCAGGAATGGAGCTTCATTCGCGGAGGGTTGTCCACCATTGACCTCGACTACGGGAACTTTAACAAAATCCATCATGACATTGGTACACACGTTGTGCACCATTTGTTCCCTAAGATTCCGCATTACCATTAGGCCACTGCTGCGTTGAAGCCCTTGCTTGGTAACTACTACCAGGAGCCGCAAAGATCCGGTCTTATTCCAGTGCACCTCATCTCCATTCTCGTGAAGAGCTTCTCCGAGGATCATTATGTAGCCGACGAGGGCGACATCGTCTATTACCAGAAAGATACGAAGGGAAGAGGTCTGCTATCCTTGTGTTTCTATATATATATATATATATATATCTATATATATCTAGGCTATGGCGCTTGCTTCATGCCGTCGAAGTATATACTCTGGGCAGGGTAAAAGAAATCGACCATGCATTGTGTTTTAAGGTTAGTTGAAAACGGGAGTGCTGATCTGTAACGACCTTCTTGTTGAAAGGATTAACAGATTCAAGCTAGGTAACTATTTGCTGAGGGAAATTAGCCAGGGTTTGACGACAGAGTGATTATGTTTTGAATCCGTGACTACTGTTAGCATAAAACAGAGAATTTTAACTAGTTATGTATGGCATCCCGTGTCCATTCACAACATCTAAGATTCAATTTCGGTCGCGTTTGTGGAGTCAATGGCATGTGTGGTGCCCAGTCCTTGTGATTTTCCTCTGTTCATGACTAAACAGCAGCATTGTTTCTCCCATTGAAAATCCGCTTTAGCCTATCCGACATTATTCGTGATTGTAGATATAATTAAGTGCACGTTTGCTCAATTATTTCCAATCAACTTGATTGATAGCCTCCACAACATCGCCACGTACTGATTGTATCACCTCCTTCACTAATATTGCCAATTGTCACCAGTAGTCGTTGTCTCTCCCTGCCTTCCAAGGCATCTACCTCACTTTGCTGCCAATTCAATAAACAATTCCTCAATATTCCTTGCTGCCTCCAACTGTCACTTACTTTTACAAACCGTCCAATAATAAACAATAAATTTCACCCACAATCGTGTATCTCAAAAATAGCACTGTTAGATGCGGGCGTAATGTGATTTAACGTTCTGTGTCAGCCTGAGTCATCGCAATCCAAAATTTCAGCATCTTTCGATTAGATTCAACATCTAATTTTCTTGCAGACAGATGATACGACTTCTCCGTGATTCCTCCAATCTTTCTATCAAGCGTCATCAGTTTCCCCTTGCTCCCCACATCTACAGTTCCCTTCGCAGAATCCGAGTTTCTATAATAACACTTTCCCAAACAGACGGTGCGGAAACAAAATATTCGCGTGATGATCCCGCGTTTGTTACCGTCATTGGTTTGGAAACACTCTCATGCTATCGATTTCAAGCGATAGTGTGTCGCATGTTTTGTGTGATTGCAGGTTCAGAATCAATATTGCGCAATCGTCATCATCATCAACATCATGATTTGTCGACCTCATCTAGACTTGGTTTAGTACATATCAATCCCCTGAGACAAAGTTGCCACAGAGAAAAGTATCGCAAATTTTGGCACGTCATACATGATCCTTTTTCAATGGAGTGTGAGCAATCCAACGGCTGTCTGTGAATCCCATTTGTGTTAAGTACCATTCAAATATGAGACGTAGTAGTATCTGTACATGCACCACTGGATACTGGTGCTTTTATATGATTGTATTTGCACGTGAGGTGAGCCCTACTAGCAAGTGTGATGTATACATATCCACTCACAACATATTCAAGACTTTGATTGATGGAGCCGTGAGTCCATAAGTCCATGAAAATGTCTGATATCTTTACAGATATCTGAATGCCCTGGAAGATGATAAGTTCAGGGAAAACTGAGAACAGGATTAAAATGGTCATATCTAGAACTAATGATCTTAACATCCCAGCTAAAAAGAAAAAAGAAAAGCCATAATTGTTGATATAAAACTACTAACTACTATATTAATCAGAAGAGAGTACAAATAGGAGCAGTGCTCATCTCATAC